TATTTCGGCTACCCTTAGGGACGTGAGTATGTACTTCCAACATAAACTAGAATCAGTAAGGAAATTTAGGGGGAATTTTTTTTTCCTCTCCAAATAAGAAGGGGTAGAAAAACATAAAAAATGAGATTTAGTGTCCCATCAATGTGTCCAGCAATTCAACGCTCCACACTTAAAGGTTTGAGTAGCTCCTTATTTCTATACTGGACTTGCAAAAGAGCCTGTAAAAGACGCCAGTGACAATTTGACAAAAGTAACAGATCTCAGAGTGAAATCTTATCTGTGTGTCTTCCAGTAAGGTTCTCTAAGCTGGGGGTCCCCAACTTCCAGGTCGTGGCCCACTAAGCGGGCCGCGGGAGAAATGAGCAAGTGTGTGCACGTGAAGCTCCAGTCATGGGAGTGGAGCTGGGTGCGCAAGTGCCCTCCCGTAACGGAGGCCAGCCACAATGTTGCTAAATCAGATGAATAAATCAACAAATATGAGTGTGCCATGTGCAATGGTGTAAGGGTATCTATAGGCACACAAGACAGGATAAACAAAGTTCTTGCAGCCACAATATTGAGTGCTCTCTGAGCTTTCTTGCAGACGTTTCATTACCCAACTAGGTAACATCATCAGTACTACAAGGGCGTGGGGGTTTGCTCTGTTTACATACTAGTCAGATTTAACAGAATAACAGAGATGGAAGGGAACTTGTAGGTCATCTAGTCAACACCCCCCCGCCCAAGCAGGAGGGCCTACACCATTTCTGACAGAGGGCAGCCTGGTCTCTTCTTGAAAGCCTCCAGTGATGAAGCTCCCACAACTTCTGAAGGCAACTTCTGTTCCATGGGTTGACTGTTCTCACTATCAGAAAATTCCTCCTTATTTCCAGGTTGAATGTCTCCTTGATCAGTTTCCATCCATTATTTCTTTGGGTATGTTGGGAAATAGCTTGACCCCCTCCTCTCTGTGGCTGCCCCTCATATATTGGAAGACTGGTATCCTGTCTCCCCTGGTCTTTCTCTTTACTAGACTAGCCAGGCTCAGTTTCTGCAACCGTTCATCGTATGTTTTAGCCTCCAGGCCCCTAATCATCTTTGTTGCTCTTCTATGCACTCTTTCTAGAGTCGCAACATCTTTTTTATAGTGTGGTGACCAAAACTGGATATAGTATTCTAGGTGTGGTTTTACTAAGGCTTTATAGAGTGGCATTAGTACCTCCCTTGATCTTGACTGAATCCCTCTGTTAATGCAACTTAGGATTGCATTGGCTTTTTTGGTTGCAAGATTTGTGTGAGTGTTCTTATTAGTTCCTTGATTACTGTTAGCTTGTTTATCCGAGTAAATAATAATTGCCACAACAATATCTCAATCAAGGAGCTACCAACTCAGGCAAACAAGCTAACATTGAATAACACAATAAACAAAGAATCACCAAGAAGAAACATCTCTATCAACACTGGTAGGGAAAGTCACTTGTATATAAATAGAGAGCAAACCCCATTCCCTTGTAGCACTGATGATGCTACCTAGTTGGGTAATGAAACATCTGCAAGGAAACAAGCTCAAAGAACACCAAGGACGTCACAGCTCAACCTTGAGCTATAAACATTCTCTTCTTTCGGTGCCAAAATCTTGTGTATTTCACAACACAAGCGAAAATCCCCCACGGCCAGATCAAAATTAGCACCCAGAATTTTGGTTTGCAGTACAGATAGTCCTCGACTTATGACAATTGAGCCCAAAATTTCTGTTGCTAAGTGAAACATTTGTTAAGTGAGTTTGCCGAAGTTTCTAAGTGACTCACTGTCATTAAGTTAGCAACATGGTTGTTAAGCAAATCCGGTTTCCCCATTGACTTTGCTTGCCAGAAGGTTTCAAAAGGTGATGATAGCATGACTTCCACTGTCATAAACATGAGTCAGTTGCCAAGCAACTGAATTTTGATGCCATGCCAAGGGGATGCTGCAATGGTTGTAGGTGTGAAAAACGGTCATAAGTTACTTTTTCCTGTGCTGTGGTAACTTTGACTGGTTACTAAATGAACTATTGTAAGTTGAGGGCTACCTGTATTCCCAAGCTGTTTTAAAAGAATGACCAAGGACAGAAAACTAAAAAGAAAATGACATTCTTTGTGGTGGAAAAGAAAAAAAATAAAGGAGGAAGCATTAGGGTTACAACAGGACTGTTATAAACCTCACCCAAAAATGCAACATGCAGGCAATATTTATGTTAAAACCAAGATGGAGAAAAGTAAGTTTTGGTTTCTCGGCAAGGAACTAACAAAGAAAGTTCACCAGTGGCCCACGAACGCTTTGTATGCTCTTCTTGCTCCAATCCCAGATTTAATTTAAAACAACCGAGGGGGTTAATTCTTATAGTTTTGTGGGCCTGCTTTTCCCATGGACCTGAATGACGCAGCCAGGATGAAAAATGGCCGTTCACCCTCTCCCTTGCACGTAATTCATTTTGTACAGAAATGCTTACGGTTGTATACTTAGCGCTCTGGCCCTTGTCCAAATCAACCTTCGAGAGGAAGAGTTGTCACTAAGATCAGTCAAAATTTCCCCCAATAATAAAGAAGGAATAAGAATATCTCGGTGCTGAAGTCTATCGGTACCATGCAAAGTTTCCCATCGCAGCAGCGTCCCTGAGATGTAAAACGATTAAGACTTTTTTTTTTCTTTCCCACACTCTTGAATTGGGATAGGAGACATATTGAACGAATCATGCCAAGATGCAGGATGTCTCTGAAAAGCAGACAGCTGGGCGACAGGCATCTTAATGACCCCTTATCTTAATCTTGTTTAAAAGCACCTCAGGTTTTTTTCCCCCCGAGTAATCTTTTCACTTTACAATATTCTCTTTTTAACGGGATATGTGTGCTTCTCTGGGAAGCTACCAACCGGAGTAAAATGTTTTTATCGCTCACGTTAATTTACCGGCTGAGCCCCTCGGTAAGGCGTGCAAGACTTTGGGATCAGGGACCATTTTTTTTTTTAAAAAAATGGTCACAATTAATGCTCGCATCGATGGGCTTGGCTTAAAATAGGAGACTGAATCAATCACTGGATGCCGGCGGATATACAAAAGGCCACCCTTTGAAGGAGTAGTAAAAGTGAAGGGGATAAAACGGCTGGTTTGGAGCAGCCGTTCCCCCTTTCCCTTGGGGGGAGAAGAAAGGAAGTCAATGTATATATCCATTTAGGCATAGACAAACAGACCTTTAAGTTTTTAATGAATAGAATAGGATAGGATAGGAGTAGTGTAGTGTAGTATAGGATAGGATAGGGGAGTGAAGTGGAGGAAAGGGAAGGGAAGGGATGAGACCTTGAAGGTCTTCTAGTCCAACCCCCTGCTTAGGCAGGAAACCTTATACCATTTCAGACAATGGTTGTCCAATCTCTTCTTAAAAACTTCCAGTGTCAGAGTACCCACAACTTCTGCAGGCAAGTGATTCCACTGATGAATTGTTCTCACTGTCAGAAAATTTCTCCTTAGTTCTAAGTTGCTTCTTTCCTGGATTAGTTTCCACCTGTTGCTTCTTTTCCTGCCTTCAGGGGCTTTGGAGAATAGCTTGACTCCCTCTTCTTTGGGGCAGCCCCGCAAATGTTGAAAAGACTGCTATCATGTCACCCCTTAGTCCTTTTTTTCATCAAACTAGACATATCCAATTCCAGCAACAGTTCTTTGTATGTTTTAGCTTCCAGTCCCCTAATCATGTTTGTACAATGGTACCTCGGTACTTATCGTTAATTGGTTCCGGGGAGATGGATGAGTTTGACAGAAGTAGAAGAGTCAAACACACACACACACAAAAACACACACACCTCTATGGAAAAGAATGGTGGGCTTTACCTTGTAAGAGGGCAGAAAGCACAACACCCCACGTCGCACCGTCTGACAGACTGATAGCAAGAGCTCGCCGACTTCATCTTGAAACTCGAAGGTTTCTGTATGTTGGAAAGTTGCCCGTAACTGCCGGTGTTTCGGGCCGGCTCCAATGGTACCAACCCAGACCTGTTGGGATATCGAATTGGGCATTGGTAAGCAAGCTTACCGAGGAATAAAATTTCCAGGATGAACAAAACAGCAGACAAAACAGGATTTTAAAGGAGGTGATGCACCTCATCCAATAAAGTACAGATAGTCCTTGGCTTACAACGAGTGTGCGGTGGCCTAGAGGTGGAGCTGAGAATATATCTGCTGGAAAAAAACTCCACATTGGTGACAAGAAGGGCATCCGGCCAGTAAACACTCAGCTCCATTCAGCTGCCTAGACTCCACTCAGCAAGGGATTATGGGATCATTAAAAGAGGAGGAGGATGAAAAGAGTCCTTGATTTACAACAATTCATTAGTGACTGTTCGGAATTACAACAGCACTGAAAAAAAGGTCCATTTTTCAAACATACTGGCACTGCCCTGGATAAAGCCAACTCTGGCATACGTCATTTACAGTCCCGTGACCCTGTTTCCCCCCTCCCCCCTGGGTGTCTCATAAATCAGATTCTCCAATTGAGCACATTCACGGGCTGGGTGTCATCATTCATGTTCTCCAATTAAATATATTCCCCGGGCAAAATCTCTGGTATTTTACTTACAACCTTTTAAAGATAAGGAGTTGGAATATACTTTTGCTTTCAAACAGCTGCACTGCTCTTCCAGATTTCCTTCCTCCCCCCCTCCCTTTCATAACAACTACTAAAACAGGCATAGGAGTGTTTTATGAGTGGACAGGTGGTACTTGTCGGTTCTGTGGACTAGGTCAAAATATCCACTTATTGGTACACCAGAACTGGTCCAAACCTGCTGAATAACCACCTCTGCAGCCATCAGGACTTTAAATCCAGATCGTAAATAGCCTGAGGGAGGTCCATATAATTTCAAGCAGTCGCTAAAAGACCTGTCATAAGTTGCACTTCGAAAAAAAAAAAAATTCTTAACCTCCAAGTCTTCCTAGTGTTCTTAACAGCAGAGGGAACCGGCTGGTGGAGGTAGGGGGGGGAGTTTTACCTGTGAATTTCTAATGACATGGTTGGCTTCAAGCTGAATGGAAAAGTTCACCCCAAGCTCGGAGGAAAAGGAATCCATGGGAGAAAGCGTCCCTGAGGTTAAAACGATGGACCGGACCACACTGCTTAAATCGGAAAAGGCCTACGGAGAATAGAGAAGAGAAGAAGAGAAGAGAAAAATATTTTAAGGGTTTGCGGCTTTCATCTTTAAAACCCCCAAAACATGGCTACAGGTAGTCCTCAACTTATTACAGTCGAGAGCAAGAATTATCATGGTCAAGCAAGGCAGTTGTCCCAAAGGTGCTTTTTCAGGAAGCAACTGGATTTAACTGTTTTTGTTTCTTTTGAAGATGGAATGGAAAGGAATATAAATCCTTCCATTCCCCACCATCCAGTCAGAGCTGAAGAAGCTTCTTGGATGAGAAGCGAAAGGGAACATCTTCAAAAGAAAAAAAAAACCCACCAAGGAAGTCCAGTTGCCTTCTGAAAAAGCATTTTTGGGATAACCACGATCAGGATGACTGAGAACCTCTACAGAATTTTAGCTATACAATTTGGGATGAACGTCCTTGGAATGGTGTAGGAGTAGGAATGGATTTCCAGAGTAAGAACTGCAGACTACAGGAACCAGGAGCGCTACTCGGGCGACCCTGAGGCCACAGACAAACCTCCAAGTGGCCTCAAGGACTCTCTAAAAAGGATGCAAATGACCAGCTGTCTGCAAGGAGTATAAATCCTTTCATTCCCCACCATCCAGTCAGAGCTGAAGAAGCTTCTGGAATGGTAAGTGAAACGTCTCCAAAAGAAAAAGCAAGGAAGCCCAGCTGCCTCCTGCAAAAGCACCTTTGGGACAACCATAACTGAGAATCTCTACAGACGTTAAGCAAGGCAGATGTTAAGTGAGTCACACCCAATTTTACAATCTGTTTTGCCCTGTTAAGTAAATCACTTGAATCTGTTAAGTTTCATAGGAGCACAGTGGCTTGAGTGGCTGGAAAACTGGGCAGGGGGCTAGCAAGCCCGCGTTTGAGACCCAAGAGCTGCTATGGAGCAGGGTTGAGCTCCCGTCCGTCACTCCAGCTCCTGCCGGGGACATAAATGGAGTCCCCAACCAAGCATCCCCAGGACAACGGTGATGTCACCGGCTAATCCTTTCAACCTGGAAGCACTCAGTGTGCAAAAAAAGACCCCAAACAAACAAGAAAAAAAACCCAGATAATAATAGTTGTTAAGCAAATTTGGCTTTCCCCACTAACTTTGCTTGTTGGAAGCCAGTTAGGAAGGTTACCATGGTGATTGCATGACCCTGGAATGCTGCAACTGTCAAAAGTACATGCCAGTTGCCAAGCATCCAAACTTTGATCGTGTGACTGTGAGGTTACTGTAACAGAAGTAAGTGCAAAAAAACAGTCATAAGTCACTTTTTCAGCACAGTTGCAACTTTAAATGGTCACTAAACAAATGGTTATATGTCAAGGACTAGCTCTATTCTCGTCTGACATTTGGCTACCAAAGGCTAACATGGGCCGTGTCTTCCATTCAGCCAATCCTGAAGCATTCAAAGCCAAGGGTTACTGTTGGGTTGGGTTGTTACTCCCTAAAAACACAGATGTTATCATCACAACTAACCAGCTTACCACAGCTGGATTCAAGCACCAGAAATTGAGGCTGTTTACGGCCGTTTTGTGTCGCATTTTTTTCCGGTAACAGACCAAGAAACCATTCTTATCCTGAGTGTCAGGTGGATTTTCATTCATCCAGGTGAAGGTTTGCTGCAGGGCAATTCGGTAATCGTCAGCAAACCTAAGGAGAAGCAAACTGAAAATGTAACTAAATCCCCCAAATACATGTGATTATGAGGACCGCAATTGGTACATTGGAGAAAAAAGCTTTACTGACCTGTGATTTCCTTTGAACAGATAGTGGATGACCATAAATAGACCTTTCAGGATAACTTGAGTTGAAGGACTTATAACTGGAACGGAAACTACTTTTTCTAACCCAGGGAACTTTTCTTCCTTTTCGAGCACAGCGTGAAGATGTTTCTAGAAAAGAGCAAAACAGTTGCCACAAAGAAGAGGGAGTCAACCTGTTCTCCAAAACACCTGAAGGCAGGACAAGAAACAATGGATGGAAACTATTCAAGGAGAGAAGCAACCTGGAACTAAGGAGAAATTTCCTGACAGTGAGAACAATTGATCAGTGGAACAGCTGGCCACCAGAAGTTGTGGATGCTCCAACATTGGACAGGGAACTGGACTAGAAGATCTCCAAGGTCCTTTCCAACTCATTCTATTCTATTCTATTCTATTCATATTCTATTCTATCTCCTATTCTATTCTATTCTATCTCCTATTCTATTCTATTCATATTCTATTCTATTCTATCTCCTATTCTATTCATATTCTATCTCCTATTCTATTCTATTCTATTTCCTATTCTATTCATATTCTATCTCCTATTCTATTCTATTCTATTCTATTCTATTCTATTCTATTCTATTCTATTCTACACTCCAATATTCTATTCCATTCCATTCCATTCCACTCCATTCCATTCCCAATAAAGATTCTATTCTATTCTATTCATATTCTATTCTATTCTATTCTATCTCCTATTCTATTCATATTCTATT